AATACCTCCAGTGCCAGAGACTTGTAGAGGAAGAGTCAAACTTTGGGGACTCACCCGTGCACCAGAGGGCCAAGGCAGCAGGAGGCAAGAAGGCTGGGCGAGCTGGGCTCCTCCATGCTTGGCAGAAGATGAGGTGCAGAGGCGAGAGGTGGGCAAGCAGAAGAGGCACTCAGCCAGCCGCACAAGGCTTCAGGGCTGCCTCGTTAAAGGAGTGCGGAGGCCTTACTCGCAAATGAGAAAAGGCAAGCTCAGGGTTCGTGGGTCGCATTTTGGGCTGTGGAAGAGGAACCGGCTCCATTCCTGGAGTTCTCTCGAGTTCCTGAGCTTTTGGTTTTGCTTTTTGCCAATCCACCTCCCAAGACTGCTCCAGGTGCTCCGGCCTGAGGGCTGCTGGGGCTTCCTGCAGTTCGGCCCCATTATATCCTATGGGCCATTGAAGTCAATGGCGAAAACATAGGGTATATTCTGGGGGCTGGAGGGGAGGGGGTTTGAGAGAGAGAGGCTCCAAAATCACAGGGTAGCTGCTGGAGTTTCTCCCCAAGATACCCGCCATGTTTCAGGAACATTGAACCAGGGGGTCCAATTCTACGGGCCCCCAAACAGGTTGCCCCATCCCCTCCATTGTTCTCTATGGTGGGAAAAAAGTTACTTTTTTCCCACCATAGAGAACAATGGAGGGAATAGGCCGTCAGTGCCTACGGCGAAAGAGCCACACTCAAGGGGCCAAAGAGCCGCATGTGGCTCTAGAGCCGGTTTGCCTACCACCGTTTTAGAGCATTGCTAGCCAAGCTTTTGGACATGGGTACTGTGAGTTGTCCACAGAACAAGCCATCTGGTCTGGAAATTAGCTACATGCCCAGGAGCTTAAGGCTTCCTGCTATATTTCTTAGAATGTTCAGCACAGGTTCTAGTTTTGTTTCTTTTCTTTTTTTTACATACAGGTATACCCTCCAGAACTATTTCAGGTATATACGAGAACCAGTTACCTAAAGTAATTTTTATTTGTATTGTTAGGTAGACAACCATTTAATCGTAAATACCAATTACATCACATTAAGCATCCACCTTGTAGCCTAACTTGCAGTACACTCCTGAGCAGAATTGCAGCCTTTTAAGCCCATTAACTTCAATGGAGTTAAAGGATGTAACACTTAGATAGGGTTGCCAGCTCCCGGTTGGGAAATACCTGAAGATTTTGAGGTGGAGCCTGGGGAGGGAAGGGTTTTGGGAGGGAAGGGTCCTCAGGAGAGCCCCCCCCCCAAAGCAGCCATTTTCTCCAGCTAAACTGATCTTTGTCGTCTGGAGATCAAGTGTAATAGCAGGAGATCTCCAGATACAACCTGGAGGGTGGCAACCCTGCATGTCAATGGGCACCAGCAGAATTGTCACAGTTCCTACATGACAACAAACCCAGTTTCCTTTTTGTACTGACTTGATTTCCATTCACGGAACAATAGTCATCGCATTACATATCTCAAGCTGGGATGTCCCTTTTACTTTGCCATGGTCTTTGCTCCAGCATAATTCCTTTTTGTTCCCCTGCTTTGATTTCTATCCTGTTGCTCCCAAATATAGATATTCCATTTTTTTTTTCTTTCTATCACCAGTGTCCTCAAGTTCTGCACTCACTGGTGCCAGAATGAAACTCACAACTGCTCACTTGTGTCAAATTTGAAATGCATATGTTTAATGAAACTATGCTGAAGAACTGGGGTCCCGTTCACACGGAGAAGTTGCTGCGCTAAAGACACTGATGATAGGCGGATTTTCGGTGCGTGATCACACCGCAACATCTTGGAAGCGTAGTACACCCGTGGCTTCTCGACGAAGATGCAGAGTAAAAAACTACCACATACAATGTACTAGTTTCCGGGAAACGCGGGGCAAGGGTGGGCGTCTGATTGCGTTTCCGCTTGAATCCTGTGGCATCTGGCGCCTGTCCATGTCCTGTCACACACCAGATGGTTGGGGTTTTTTGTAAGCCTCCACAGGATGTGCACAAATGATCATGCGCATGTGCAAACTTCGGTGTGGGGGGAAAAATTCCCGTTTGCCACGGAAGCGGCACCTAACAATTGCCGGTGTGATCGTGCCACACCGCCTCTTTGCTGCGTTGCAGGATAGCCGTGTGATCGGCACCTAACGATGGGACATGTGGTCGGGCTGCCGCACGTTACTTTGCTCCAGGGCAAACAGCCACAGTTCCTCCCCCCCCCCGCATTTTCCGACCCATGTGACCAGGACCTGGTTATATTTTGAGAGAATCTGCCAGGAGTCTCACCAAGAAAGGGGGGCTGTAAATAAATACCAACTATGAAGCATCAAGCTGTCAGATACTAAATATTACTGCATTACCACTTTAAAATTCAAATACTGTTGCACATTGACTCTCAAACTTGAATACTAAATTCAAAGGGTCCAATACCAAATATTCAGCAAATAAATTTTAGAAAACAAAACAGTTAAGTTCTGGTTCCAATTAAATGAGGAACTTATATAATTTAAGCATAGAATTTTAGTTTTCTTAAACTGAAGATAAAACTCAATTCAATCTGATCTTTTTCCCCTGCTGCATATGAACTGGTAATGAGATTGTGTGCTTTGATTCACTTTTGTTCATTTCAGTGAGAGAGCTTTGGCTAAGGAGCACATCAGTGTTGATATTTCAATACTCAGTCAATGAAGAGACATAACTCTTGGTCTAGCTTTATTTGCAATCTAAATTACTTCCATTTCCCCTGTACTCACTGGAACAGGAACTTCAAGTAGTCTTTTAGGATGATGTAAAGTGCAGGTGAACCAACTTATATATATGTTAACCTTATTTTGACATGCACACACAGCACTTGCTGGAATAACATGTTTTTCTGAACTGCCTTCTTTACAAAGTAAAAGAAGAGATCATGCTTCAACAGTGATATCAGAGTAACTTGTAACTATTTCTTTCTTCCATTGCAATCCTGTAAAAAACAATAACAAAATTAGCCTATACTGTGGTGGTGCCCCTCTAGAAAGCTATAAGATTCAAAATAATCTTATTAAAATTAATAATCATTAAAATAAGATTCAAACAGCAGATGTTTATACCACAATATGTATATCTTAAACAACTTCGTTTTCTTTCCCATAGCTCATTCCCCTAAGAAATTAAGTTCTAAAAAGTGCCTTTAGCAAATATTTAGTAAGCAGCATATTTTTGTTGGTATGCTGCAAGACTGTCACTGTACGAGACTTGGGCATGCCCTAATATTCATTCAACTCTCGTTCTTGTTATACTTAAAAGGGAGATACCAAAGATGATAATTAATATATTTTAAAAACTTTTCTTACATGCAAGTTTTTTCCTGCTTCAGAACTAGATACAGAAGAAAACTAGGAGAGGAACAGAAAGTTGTCATCACAGCAGGGATGGTGAACAGAACTGAACATGCTGTGAGAATGTGGTGGGGGGGGGGGAGATGCTGGATGGACTGATTAACCTTTTCTATTGGCTGCTGCAAAATCCAGCTTTGGCCAGCCCAGTGAAGAGATATTAGATTCATGCACTGCCTTATTGTTACTAGACACTTCCTAATCTGATACTGCAACCACTATACCATGCTTAATTTTACAGATTAAAGGATACATAGTTTGACCAACATGGGCTCATTCATAAAGCTTTGAGGGTGTCTTTTCAGTTTGAAGCTGCAGCATATAGATGTTCTTTACAGGCCCCCCATTGAATAGCTAAACAAAATCTTAACAGGGGGCTTTTGCTACAAAATGCACATGAGTTTAGGAGAATATTTTCCAAAAAGAATAGGAAACATGGAATTGAATTGTCTGCTTTTATTAGTGGTCATACCTATTAGTCATCATCGTCATCATCCTCTGGCACAAAGATATCATGTTCCTCAAGCAAAGCTGCAAAGCTCTTGCTGATCTGCGTCCCAACATAGAGGAAGGGAATTACAACGGAAAATACACGGAGAAGACCAAAGGGCATCTACAGGGATAAATTCATGTTAGTATCTTTCAGAAGATAAGTGTTGACAAATGAGACAGCTAAATTTAGAATTTGTGGTAATATTTAAATAGCATCCTACCAAGACTTGTTTCTGTAACAAATAATTATGCAGTCTTACATGGTTCAATGTGGTTATCCACTGTAAGCAAAAGCTTGCAAGAATGATAACCGATTTATAACAAGAAAACAAAGTCTAAACATCAAAAATACAAGTCAATTTCGGATTATCCCAGAGACATACTTAAGAAAACAAAAGTCTGTTACAGTTTGGCATGGTGGCCTACATCAGGAAGAAAGTCTACTGTACTGAATGATCTGGGGGGGAAAGGGATTTTGCTTCTATTCTTTTAGCAATAATATAGAACTTAGTACAGTACTGAACTTTATTACCAGAAGTCTCTATATAACCCCAAGCCTTTTTATAGTGTATTTAAACATAGAGAGTTGGGCTGGGACTGGAGAGATTCGAATCTCTAACTAGGCACGAAGTGCACTATGTATATTGGGCCTATCAATCTCCCTTGACCTCGTCCACCCCACATATTTACTGTGATAATAAAATGCAGGAGGGAATGACCAGAAACCTGAGCTATAAGCCTAACAGACAAAGGGCAGCAATAAATGGAGAGACAGACCATCCGAGTTTATGCATATTAGCATTTTGTCCAACGTGGGGCGTCCACAGCAGTCAAAGAACGCCCCATTATTTCTCCCTCTGGTCTTTGCCAGACCCTGTAAAACGGCGCTTCCGCGTTCTGAGACCTTTCAGTCCAACTCCATTTTTCATTGATCCAATCTTCTGTCACTCAAAAGCCAGTCACGCCCTCAAAGGAAAACTTACAAATTACTGGCTGGCAAAACCAGCCAATAACAGTAGACCGGAGCCTCCGTTTGGTTAATACTTACTCTCCCCCGCCCCCGCTTCTCCTTCTTTATGGCTTTCCCTCAGACACTCACTTTCACGGGCTTGGGCAAAATGGCGCCAGAGTGGGTGAATGTAAGGCTGCGCGACGGTGCAACGGTGGCGGAAGGGCTTCTATGAATCCTGGTGGGTTCCGCCCGCCTCCAAGGCCCAACCGCTGCTAACAGACGCCCAGCCATCTTCTTTCTGGAGCTGTTGCCCTCGCGACGAGTAGTGTGACAACGCGCCTGGGGCTGTGAAAACGGCGGGCGGTGCTTTCTCAAATCTCGTGATACCGAAAGGGGGAGGTCCCAGTGCGCATGCGGCTGAATTTAGGCCGCGGGGTGTTTCCATAATCGGAAGCTTGACTGGTTGGCCCAAAGAGTCTGATTGCGGGGCTGGCGCCAGTCCTTCAGATTGCAACATAACTAAATACATACAAAAATATTTAAATAAACTAATATAAGAGTACCAGTGTGAATTAGATTTAAACAAAGGTGGAATGAAAACTGGTGGAAGGAATATTAATAATTTGAGATTGCTGGTGACAACACATTACTGGCAGAAAATAGGGAAGACTACTGATAAAGATTAAAACAGAAAGTGCCAAAACAGGATTATAGCTGAACATTAAGAAGACAAAAATAATGACAACTGGGGATTGATGATGAAGAAATTGAAATTTTTGAAGATTTTCTGTTCCTTGCCTCCATCATCAACCAAAAGGGAGACTGCACCCAATAAATCAGAAGGAGATTGAGACTGGGAAGCTGTTAAGTCGTGCGCTTAACAAGAGTCGGAGAGTGATTTCAGCAAGAATGCGGTTTATTCTTCAGCTTAGTTACGGTACAACGATCGCCAGCCAGAACCCATCATCAGAACACAGACATACACTGGCTGCTCTGTATTTAAACATTCCCGGCTAATGTAGCCACACCCCCTGTACAGATACCAACCTATGAGGTTGAAGAGAATACACCCAATCACAAGCGGTCCCGCTTTGTACGGTGATTGGCAGACACATTCTGGGCTAGGGCTCCTATTGGTTACATTAGGATCCTAGCCCAGAGGCGAAGCTTAACATGGTATCTTAATGGGACGGTTCACATAGCAGTTATATATACAGTCAATACATAACAAATCCCTCCCCCCTAAGCAAAAACACTATGTACAGTCATATTCGCTTAGATAGGTGGGCACTCTGCGAATTCGCTGAGACCTCCGCGGCGTAGGAGGTTCAGGGCACCTCTGAATTGGAGGGACTCGGCTTGACTCACTCTCGAGTGGGTCAGGTACACTTCCATCCCTTGCAGTGGGTCCAAGAGTAGGGGTCTGCCCTCCCTCAGGGACAGTACTGGGCTCGGCAGGCTCAGCAGTACTCACCTCCGGCAGAGGTATGGGATGATCCTCGGGGTCGGGGAACTCAGACGGCTGCGAGGTGGGGCGGCCAGTTGCCCACCGTTGCCTCAACTGGTCAACATGCCGTCTCCACTTGCGCCCGTCCGCAAGCAGGACTACGTACATGCGTGACCCAACAACTTCAGTTACAGTGGCTGGTAGCCAAGACTGTCCCCGAGTATAGTTCTTGGCGAACACAGTATCTCCGCATTCGTATGTGCGGACCTTAGTGGGGACTCCTTGCTGCTGGGGCCT